TTGGCTATCTTCCAGTCATCAGGCACCTCTCCTGTTCTCCATGACCTTTCATAGATGATGGAGAGTGGCTCAGCAATGTCATCTGCCAGTTCCTTCAGCACTCGCGGGTGCATTCCATCGGGGCCCATGGACTTGTGGGTGTCCAGCTTCCTTAAAAGATCCCTAACCTGACCCACATCGACAGAGGGAAGGTCGTCCTTTCTCCAAGCTTGCAGTAGAGCTTTTGCCTATATTTCCCTAAACCAGAAATGGTAGTAAAAAAATGACATTGTCCTAAAAGCTAGTGGATGGAGTCACCTGAATTATGAGGAAACCTGTATACTAATCTGGATTTAAAATCTCCGCGAAGGTCAAACCAAGGGCTGCATTCAGGAACGTATACATTTGGAATGTTCTCCAAGTTGGCTGAATCCAAGATATAGAAAAGATTTATCTGTCCAGCTTCACATCAGGCTTACCTGAAGGTGATGCTGGTCGAAAGCACAAGAGCATGGTGGGGGTGTTTTGCAGCGAGCACCAGCCGGTGGTATTGTACACTGGTTGTTAGCCCTGCTGTGGCTAATTCTGAAAATACTTGAAAAGAAATTTTAGGTATGCTCTCTGGTATCATTAGTTGCCTAAAATAAATATTGCTATCCACCGTTTTTTGATTTTGGATTGAATGATAAAGTCCCATGCAGAGAAGTGTTACAGAATTTAGATATCAAAAGGACGAATAGGAAAATCTGCTCATGCATACATGCACTGTAAAGAAACAGTCTCCTTTGCTTTCTTTCCTAAACAGGTATGGGTTGCTGGTATACCCAGAATATTTGCCAGACAACCCAAACAGACCTGTTCAGTTCAACAGTTTCAGAGCTTGGAGCAGCCAAGGTGGAGCACAGGTATGTTTGTCCTGACTCTCCTCTGTGATGCTCAGTATCTTTACAGCTATAGCCCCTCTACACTGACTTCATCTTTTAAGGCTGCAAATAAGCCACAGTTACGGTAAAGCTCTTGCGCTTGTATGTCCATGTCCCTCAGCTGGAGGCTCCTATTTGGGTGATAAAGCCAGAAACACAATCTGTGTGAGCTCTTCTTACTACTTCAGAGCAGAATTCATCAATATCTGGTGGCCTCTCTAATCATCTAGCATCTGCCTGCCCCTGCAATCATGATTTACCTTCCACTGGATCATGCAGCCAAAAAACACTCCTGGTGGATCTGAGCTATCTGTAAAGATCGCAGCTGGTAGAGGAATGGTTTCCACAGGAATTTTTTAATCCTTGTTAAAAATGTGCACTTTTTTTTCTGTTTGAATTTGTCCAGCTTCACTTTCCAGCTCTTGTAGCTCATTGTTATTTAATCTGATTAAAAAAAACCCCACACCACACTTTATTATCTGATACTTTCTCCCCATACGGGAGCTCTGAGGCTGTGGTCCTCTTAACCCCGCTCCTGATGACCCGGCCAGGCTGGATGTGTTTCTCTGTAAGGCATGTTTTCTTGTCTAACCCATCCTACGTCTCTTCCTTTGAAGGTGGCCAATTCTTCAGTCTGTTTTTGCAGACTGGTGCATTCTCTTTCTGGAAAAGCTTATCTTATGTGTCTGAAAAGAAATAAAACAAAAAGGCCATTTTGCAGTTTTGTTTCTGTGGTTTTTCTCTGCCTAACTTGTAATTTCTTTGTATGTTACTGACCTAGCATACATGAATAACTAAGTTTATTCTGCTTCTTCCCCTGAGCTCCCTCCCTAGGTGACTGTAAGCAATACCCCTGGTTATTATCAAGGCATCTTTCTGCTACAAACATTAACTTCTTTACCCTGTTATTCTTTCCAGTAATAAACCCCAAAATATTTAGAGCACTTCTACCCTGTCTATCATTGATTCTCAGTTCTGATTTTCTTTCATTCTGTTCTTTTTCCCTTTAAAATGAAAGTAAGTTGGCATCATGTAAAGATTTTTGTATCACTAATTAAAAGCAGAAATAAGAAATTAAGGGGAGATGCTCAAATTCTAAATACCCAGTCAACACTTTTCTGTGTTTCTGCACTTCCCCTGCCTATTGTATTGTAAGTAAAGCAGAGTTATAAATCACAATATTTTTTTTAATGATTATTCTTTTTTTATGGTTTTATATAGATTTTTAGTAGCAGCAACCTTGAACTCCAACATTTCTGGATTTATGCTTGCAAAGACTTTGGCATTGACATCGTGGAAAGCCTGGGAAACACTTCTGTAGCTGATAGTGTTTTAATTGGACACATTGGGCAAAAGGTAAGCACTGTAGGAATTATTTCGATGTCTCCTGAGTTGCACAGCAACCCTTCAAACAGGAATTTGGAGAAAAAAAGAAAGCAACCTGAAGAACAGTCCCTGCTCCATGGCAGCTTGGGTAAAGCTTGGATTTTCAATAGATTGTATGTAAAGATAAATACTTAGGCCCAGCTTCAGGATGAGGTTTGGGCACTGATCTGTTTGCTTAGACCTCTAGCTCTCTTCCACCCCTTGGGAAGACGATGCCTTCAGCAGCAGCATCTGCAAGGGACATTGATTTGGTGATGAAGCAGAGAAACTTGGAGCACCAGTACTGCTCTCCCAGCCTGCTGGAACCAAGGGGTTTGTTGCTGCAGCCACAGAAGAGAAATAGCATTTGATCAGCTGGATCCTGCATCATATTTCAGGTGCTCTGCTCATACCAGCTGATGGTAGAGCTGAATAAACATCAGCTGTTGAGAAACCGGAGATTGCATTCTGCAGGAAAATGCAGCATTTTTTCCAAAAGCTTTTTTATTCAGTATGGAAGTTTTGAAGATATTTTTAAACGGATTTGAAACAAGGACGCTGATTTTTCTATTTGAAATTGGCACTATTGAAAGATTTTATATTATAATGCATATTTGTGTATATCTTTACAAAAAAAATTCAAAAGTAAAAACAAAATCACCCTTCTGTTCAACTTATGAGCTGAAGGGTTTTAGTAAGGTAAATGTTAATTTTTTCCCTACTCATGTTTTTTTTTCCCAGGTTGATATGGTCTCAGAAAAAACCTTGGAATTTCACAGAGCCTGAATTTTTGAGAGAAATCATAATTTCTGTTTAAACAAACTCTTCTAACATAAATTCCTATACACCTTTTGCTGTAATAAACAGACACCATTTAACCGTACACAACTGGGTTTAGTTTAGTGATTTAAGAATAATGAGGGGGAACAACAGATTTGATTTCTATCCTAGTTAACACTTTGGTTTCCTCTGCTCTCTCATAGCATCATGGATCCACCTGGAATGCAGAGTGCAACTTTGAGAATGAAAAATGCTGTCAAAACATAACATTTTTATTTATGCAGTAAATATCATCTCCTTCCAGTATTTCTTTAGGCAGCTGGACAAAGTCCTGTGGGTGCTACCAGGTTGTGAACAGATTAATAACATGGATAACAATGGAATTTTAGTTGCAACTGGCCACAGCTGCTTGTTCATGATTTCGGGGTAATTTTTGCCCTGCTCAGTTTTCTATTGTTGTTTATGAAATTAATTTTCTCTCTGACTGGCAGAAAAAGAGTTTTAAATGAGTTTTCTTTAGAAGCTCACAGAAAGAAACCTGTATAGTAGATCTGTTGTAAGTATATAGCTCAGATAAAATCCTGGTCCAATCTTGCAGCATCCCAGCAAAGCAATGAATTTTTCTCTGACATCAAAGGGTGGATGTCTTTGTTTTTACTTTGCAGGATCCATGGAAGGACTCCAATGTTGTACTTGTTCAGAGATTTAGAGGCGCTCAGCTGTGCCTTGTTTCTTGCAGTACCCCAGGGGGGTGATTATCTTTGATTATCTCATGATAAGAGCCTCCTTGTCATAATTTACATCTTAATTTATGTAATTCTCCCTTTAATAATGATGTCTCTTTAATATCAATTAAAACTTTGTGACACTAATTTAATGGGATCCTTGGATATTCCTCTCTGCTAGCCCTTCCAGTTTTTGAAAGAAGTCTTTTAAAACAAGGTTGTTTTCTGGAAATATCGGGGCATTTAAAAATTGTGGCTTTAATCAATTAAAACATTAGTGGTAGAGCTAAATCCATGGCCCATAAAAGCCAAGGGAAAGAATTTTATTAGCTTTCTAGACATCCACCAAGTCTCTTTCACGCTTTCATAAAGCAACTTGTTGTCCTTGTGGAGCCATTTGAGGAGAAACATTTCTTCCTGAAAAAGCAGGAGGTCTGAGGCAGGTGAGACGCACTAGGGAGGAATTTTCATCTCACATCCTTCTTCTATTTTCTATTAATTTAAATAAAATAAATTTACTAAAAAAAAAAAAAAGATAGGAAGGGGGGTGGGATGGAAGAACAGGCAAGTGTAAGCAAAAAACCAATAGAGTTTTTCTGACTGATTTGTTACCAGAAGCTAAGGATTTCTGCTTAGCAGTGACTTGGAAGAAGATAGCCCAAGGACCAGTGCCATCACCCCAGATATTTTGGCCTCAGAGTAAAACAGGTGATGGAGCTACTGTCTTTTAATGAGACTGAACATAGCACTATCTCTTTGAAATAATAATCTGTTTATAAAAGTCCATTTCATTCTACATTTTCAATGAAAGAGGAAGTTTTCACAGGGGGTGGATTTCTCCATTAATCCTCTATTATGGCTTTTAAGAGTTGTTCTACAAAAGTGTTTATCGGCCTCAGAAACAGTATCACACGTTCCTGTCAGCCTTTCCTTTTCCAGGCTACTCACTAGCTCTGAGTACATCCTTCTTCCCAGCCCGTCTCCAGGATAAATTGGCAGAGAGATGTACGCTTCCCCTGTGTCACCGCCTACAGTCACCACAAAATCTCATTTGTTCATTGGGTTTCCCATCATTTGTGGGTTTTCCACTTCTTGTTGCTCTGATGGACCCTGAAGTCAGCTAGAGCTTTGAAGAGAGCCTATCTTAAATGCTTCCCCCCATCCCCAATCACACAAAAGGGCTTTGAATCTCAGCAGTCAGGTTTTTCTTAGAACAGAAATTAGAATGATTAGCTTTGTAGTAGGGAAATTTCCTACTTAGTGGACAAGACAAGGTAAAGTAAAAGGGGCTGTAAACAAATCTGCTCACTGTGCCTTCCAGGTGGATTCCTTCTTCCCAGGGAATATGCAATTTCCTTCCCTTCAGATGGCCAACCTTAACTACTACTCACCAACCCGGACAAAGCAAACAAGGCAATCACTGCCCTGCATTTAATACCATCACATACAGCAAATGGTGAATTAAACAGATGTTACTTGTCAGCATTTGCAAAGTAATAGCTTAGAACTGTCCTTCAAACAGTGTACATTGCTCAGTAACCATGGGCTTAAGTGCAGTCACATCCTTGTGTCCCAGCTGCTGCATCCTGGACTCATTAGACTTGGAGATTCACATGGCGAGATGTTTCCCAGCAATCTTCATGTCTTCATTGCAGGATAGGACCTGTATGTCATCAGGACTAAAAACTCCCAAAAGATACCAGCTATTAATCTCCAACACAGCTTTCAAGAACTTTGATGTGAACACTTGCACAGCGATAAGGACTTGTTCTGGCTGTTACCAAGGGCAGGGTGAGTCTGATTTACACTTTTTTAGCAGGCTTTCCACAGTCCCTGGCTTCCTTCCATTTCATGTACAAGTTCATACGTTCCACAGACAGCCATTGATAGGTATTTCAGCTGAATCCCACAAAAAAAGCACTGTATAATCGTGAAGACTACTGGCCCAGTTGTGCTTCTGTAATCTTGTCACTATTTTTACTATAGGTGAATTAACAAAGGCTAGGTTTTGAGGTATTTGCATACCTGCTTTCCTTAGGTTTCACTGTACTGATAGTTTTCAAAAGTGGCCCTCTCTATGTTTCACTTCCCCAACTGGGATAGATAGATAATAGCTCTTCCCATTCACAGGGAGGTGAGAGGGGCATGAGATGGTCATATGTAGATGCAAGATAAATGCTGTGCTTGGTGTACAGCCCAGATGAACTAAGAAAATACCTGAGCTGGGACTGTAGAGGTATGCATGACAACCAGTCCTCAACGATACTCACCCTCTTTAGTATGTGTGCTTTGCTGACATTGCTGGTGGGCCCCACCAGACCCTTTAGCTGCTCTGCTCTGCATGGGCTGGGGTTGCAGGTTCTCTCCAATCTCCCTTGGAAATAGCTTCACCACTTAGTTGAAGCTACATATCGCACATATTTTTAAGACCAAGGTAGCCTTATTTTTGCATTGATTTCATTTTCTCAGTGGAAGGCGTTTTTACACACTGACTTGTTTCTGCTTCTTCATTTTGGAAGGTAAAATTTCAAGAGTGATGTTTTCTTTAATATCTATGACACAACCTTGCACAATTTCACCAAGCTCCTACCTCAGGCCAGCCTAAACCTTAGGTGAATTTGCTTAAGATAACATGTAAACTAAGCATCCTTTTGAGCTTTGAAGAGGTTCTCAAAGGCTCTTTGAAGAATGTTCCAACTGCAATTACCTCTTAAATATATTTATATATAAATTAATACTGCCCTACAATAACATAACAGAGAAAAAGACTTCAGGAGGCGAGATCAAAGGACAGAAGGAATAGTAAAATCTGACTCAGAGAGGCTACAACTGAGAATAAGATAGGAAGACAGTAACCAATGTGGTGCATGGACACTCATTGCAAAGCTGACTTGTTATGGTCCACGGGGCAAAGATTTTCTGTCATTTCTGGAAATATTAATGTGTTCAAAAACTTGTGCTTTAGCCCACATAAATATTCCTCCTTTTTCATAGAATCATAGAATGTTTGGGTTGGAAGGGACCCCTAGAGGTCGTTTAGTCCAGTGTAGCTATCTGCATTACAGTAAGGAAAAGATCCTCCAGCCACATTTTTCAGCCAAGTTTTTATTGTGCCAGGTACTGTACATATGCACACAAGTATATCTACACACATATAAACAGTCCTTATCTCTAAATATTTTGTCTTATAAGCAAGGCAGAAAGGATCTACAAGAATCACTGTTTTGAGGACTGTAACTTTTGGTGGTGGGACTTGTGAAGAAGCATTTGGAGTCACTAAGGAGATGCTGGTAGGGCCAGGAGCAGCACCTGGATCAGAGGAATCTGTAACCACAAGTCCTGTCACAACAGGGCACTGGATAGGTTGGACCTGGCCATAACATGACAATGGCAATTCCTACAACCATCTCTGTTTATTTATTTATTTTCCTGAATATCCCCTTCTTGTTGACCCAGTAGACTTTTTTCCAAAGGGGAGGTGAGATGAAGCTAGTCTCTTTTTCTCCAGAGACATCTTCAGGCCTGTTACTTGAAGAGGTCAGTCTCAGTTTCTGAAATGCTGCTTGTTCCCCCCAGGTGGGTTTACAGTGAGAGCTGAACATCTGACCTTCATCAACTCACCTTTCCAAGTGTCCTTCCCCTTTCCTCACTCTGCCATCCTCGAGGATCTCGACGGCTCTGTCACGGGGCAGAAAGGAAGCCATATCCTCCCTTCCACAGATATCCTTGCGGTATCTTGCACAGCCAGTGCCAACTTCAGTCAAGCTTCTGGCGGCAGTGTTTGCGGCAGCGACCTTGTTTTCCACCGTATGTCTCTTCATTTGTAAGTAAAGATTCCACTTCTGAAAAATTGTCATGGATGTTGCTTGCTGTGTTTTGTATTGAGAGAGCTGCTGGGTCTGAACACAGTCCCAAGACTCCTGCCTCGCTGCTGGGTCCTAAACTGCATCAAAAGCCTGAGCACTGTCATACATTACTCTCTGTTGTTGTCCACATGGTCTCTGGCACTGGTTTTGTTCTGGCTACTTGTTCTTGACCAGATAGATAGTTCTCAGGCACCGTTTAAGAGACAGCAGAGGGGCCATTCACAACTGGCAATTTGGAAGTAGTCATCATGTTTCTGGAGAGGAGAACTTAGCTGTATGGATGGCTATGAGAATTATGCGTACCAGTTGGCATCCAGGTCAAAGGACAGTCTTTGGTTTATTTTATTTACAAATTTATATATGGCTTGCCCAAGTTAAATTTTTTTCTGATGTTCCCAGCAAGCTGCTTATGTTTCTTACCTTAGTATCCTATCTATAGCCCTGATTCCTGTCCAGAGGCAGTGTTAAGCAGGTCTTTAAGTGGAGGCTGTGGTGTATTGCTATTTTTTCACTCTTTAAATTACCAGGGGAATATAAACTGGCCTTTGTAGAAATAACAGTCCAGCTCAAGATGGGCACTGATGGTCAAAGTGAGATCAATGGCCAAATCCCTGACAGTCAGAAATTTTGTAGGTGAATTGTAAACTTTACCAAAATATTCTGAGTGCTGACCTATAAAATCCTTCCAGATCATGAGAGAAACACCTCAATTGATGATAAGATGTAGTCTTTAAAAAAAAAAAAAAAAAAAAGTTTGAATGTAATTAGATTTTAAGTCAAGTTCTGAGAGTGTTTCCTTTTATGCTCATTGTGAAACACTTCTCCAAATGCTCCCAAAGAGCAAGTGGTCATGAATAGGGTAGATTTTCATGTCTTAAACAGAAAATCTTTGCCCTCTGATTTCACTGCTATATGAGTTTCATAAATTATCAGATTCATGTATTATGTTTTCTACATGGATTCAACATTTTATGATTTCAAACGCCCAACTCTTATGCAATGAACAGCCATATTGTATAGAAGATATAATAAGTTCATTATGTATTTCATTAAAAGAAACAATTCCAGTTGATATGGTTTTTGACACTCTGTTGGAGCCATGCCTTTCTTACCCACCTTATCAGGACTGGCTGGTCTTTCATTTTGCTGTTCTTTGCTTCTTGTGAGGTTAATTTACTTGATGAAGATCATAAAACCTTATTAAGGCTGTCCCAGGCTCACAACCTAAGCAAACTGTTTCAGTCTATACAGTTACGGTTTCCCATCAACATGGTGGGATCAGACAATGGTGCAAGGAAGATGTGAAACTCAAGAATAAACTTTTGTTGTTGTGAGTGGCAGAAAATTTTTGGCACCTAGGTAATCACTTTTCCAGAGTTAAGATGCCAGCTGTCACTTGATTTCGGTGGGCATTGTTTATAGATGGAAAATAAATCCAATTTGTTTGTTGTTTTAATCATGATAGAGGAACCCAAAGCATAAATGAACACATTACTTTATGGGTGAAAAGAACTACAGTAAACTTGTGATGTAGCTCTCAGAGCTTATTCAGCAATCAAAAGTTACTGGAAAGATTTGGTGAGTGAGCCAGGGCAAAATGACAGCACAAGACCATCCTCATTTTGACATGAAGTCCCACTGTGCAAGGATGTTTCAGGCAATAGCAGTAAAACAGTCTCCTCTCCTGTCCTCAGTAGCTCTTTCTTGGTCTGGAATGGTGCATTCCCTATGCTCTTCAATAAAAAGCGTGAGGGGCTTGATGTGGTGGGTTTTTGCTTCCCCTGAGTTTCAGGGTGGGACTCCAACTCCAAAAATCTTAAAGACTGAGGCAAGTCATGGATTTTGAGGGGGGAGTCCAGGTATGGCAACCTCTATCTCAGCAACCTCAGGCTCCTTCCCTGACCCTGAGGGCAACTGGCAAGGCTTATCCATGGCCATGTTATTAATTATCTGTGTTAACCTGCTTTGCCTCCAAAACATCAGGGAAGTTGCATCAGCACTACCTTTTAGGAAAGATCTGCCTGGGAGCTGTCTGGGACAGGGCTTGCTGGCACAAGCTAAAAGCATGTCTGGGACCATTTTAATTATTTAAAAGTTACAATCTGGGCAACTGAATGCAAGTGATTGACTCTTTATCTTTGTGCTGTTTAATTTACCAGAGTACATGTAGTGTACCGGCACTTTTTCCCCCAAAAAATGCATGTTTGGAAAAAAATGGGCGTTTTACCAGATAAAAACCCTAGGAAGACTTTTTTTTTAGAGAAAACAAGTGTCCTGAACATTTCTTGACACTCTGTCCTGAACCTTTTTTCGCTTCACCCAACAACTTCCAGAGCAATTGGGATCCATTTCCAAGCTTGCATTGCTGTAACAAAAGCCTTTGTCATGAAGTCCACTTGAAAGTTAAACTAATGTGTCACTTAAGCACCCTTTAAAGAGGGGTTTTATGTCTTTTAAAAATGTAATTGAAGCTTATAAAAGTCTTTATAAATTTATATGTGAGAAAGTTATTGAGTAGTCTGAAGAACAGCTTATGCCATGGCACAGCACAGCATGGCTGCAGGCTAGATACGGCTGCTCCAAATGCCACCGCTACCCATATTATCATGAAAATATGAGTCTCTATTAATATTAAAACAAATTTTCATTAAAAAATTGTCGTAACATGATTAAGTGACTTTAAAAGTTTCTTCGCATTATGCATAATTTTTACAAGAGCAGAGCTTTAGAATAATCGGCAGCCAGGCAGCACCTTGCGGCAAAGGGGACTCCAAACATTTCATGGCTATGCACACCAGAAGGAAGTTTGCTTCTTGTTCTCTTTCATTTTCTTTCCCCTTCTCACCGTGGAAACCTGGGACTTTCGCAGCGCCAGTCTTGTAGTTCAAGCCTTTTATTGCTTCCTTCTTCTTAGTCTGCTGCAGAGGAAAAGATTAACTTTCTTCTTTACAGCCTTAATTCTTAAATCTGGTCTAATATCCTCTCCTGTAGTGCATGCATTCAGTTGCTGCAAACCCAGCCGCTGCTGATGGGTTAGAGTGAAAAGAATAGCATACCCCCTACCTCCACGTCTTTGAGTCTTGAAGAGAGTTCAAATGGTTACTCTAGTTTTGCTTTTCCTTTGATATTTACTTACTGTGGTGCCTTCAGATGAACGCCCACCTGCTGTGAACACCCTTACAATCACACTTCTTCTCTCAATGTGTACATGCTCAGTTGTTCTCTGGTCGTGTATCCTCCCTGCGTACATGACTGTATTCACACATGGGGCAGCTTACACGTTCCCTTGGCCTCATAACCCAGCCCTCTCAGGGCTCCTGTGGCAGAACGTGGCAGGCAAATATTAAATCTGTTAACCAACACATCAGCTGAACTTCAGAGGTTCAACTCATACTGTGCTATATTTCTGGTATCTGAGACATCTCAGGAAAACAGCCAAGAGTGATTTGGTTCCCAGCGTAGGACCCCTTTCCATTTACCCTGCAGCCTGGGGTTTTGGCAGCAAAGCCAGATCATGCACAGGCTTATAAGTATGCAAGAGAAAATGTTTCCCCAGGCCCAGCCCCTCAGATTGACCCTTGTCTGGGATGTTTCTGGGTAAAGGAATATATATTTAACATTAAGGCAGCATTTGCTAACCCTGCACTTTCTGTGCTTGTAAGGAAAAGTCTGGCAATCCGGTTGGATGTTTCTTGAGGGCTGGGTAGATCCAAGTCAGATATGCCAGCTGGGACTCACTGTCATAACCAATGTATTATTAGGCCCCAAATTGTATTACTTTGTAAAGGACTGCAAGTGGGCAACGCAGGTGCAGTAAAACCATGCCTGGGGTACCTGCATCCGCCAAATTGTATTACTTTGTAAAGGACTGCAAGTGAGCAATGCAGGTGCAGTAAAACCGTGCCCGGTACCTGCATCCAGATTTTCAGATCCACTTTGGAAGCTTTAGAGCTTTCCCTGGCATGGGGTAAGTGGAGTGACAAAGTGGTCCTCCACAGACCTTTGCTATGCTTACACTGCAGAGATGTTTGAACTGCTTGCTTACCAGCCACTTTCCTGCTCAGAATTTGTATCTGGTACAAGTTTTCCTTAAAATCTCAGCCTGCAAACTATAGAAGCTAGGGAATTGATTTAAGAACAGAGACAAGTTAGGAAGCCAGGGGTAGCAAACTCAAAAGTTACTTTAAATGAAGCCATCTTATCTTGTCAGTCACAACCCTGTCTGCTCCTGGGAGGTCATCTCAATTTATCTTTTCCTTCAAATTCAGAAGGCCTATTGCAGAGTGGCTACCCAGGATTAGGGACAATGATCTAGTTATTTTTGAAAAGACCTGTGCATGCAAAAACTCAGTGATGGTAAGGGCTCATAATATAAGGCAGATTTGAATCACGTCCTTGGTCTCTGAACAAAGATACACACATTTACTTAAAAGAGTTGAAAATTCTTAATTCTTGGCAATTAAAATAAAATGAACTGGGTTTGATCCCAGTAGCAAACCTGCAAAGTGTTTGGTATGGTCATAATTTGGAATTAGCCTCCATTTGGCCAACAATAAATTGGACTGTTGCTGTAATCATTTGGTGTCCTATTTGAAGTTCAGTGCTATGTTGTTTCCTCTTTTGGAGAGGGATAATCTCAATGGATTCTTACCCAAATGTATCAAACAGAAAGCATCTAGAGCTAAACACAGCATCTGCCTTCATACACAAAGATATGGACCCTTAGGATAAGTAAGTTAATGGTAAACATAAACAGCAGAGTTAATATTTGTTCTACCTGATGTTGTTGATTGGTTTAACAAATCCTTTGTGGCCCATCTATGCTGAACAGTTCTGCACAATGCGCTGGCGCTAAATTACATAACAGTTTATACAATCACAATTCGTAAATTGTGGCTCAGACTGTAAAGTTCTATCCAGTCATCCTGCCATATTTCTAAAGCAAATTGCTCCTTAATTGAAACCTGCTTCAATATAAAAATACAGCCTTTCCAATGAGTCATCCTTTTTTTTTTTCCTCCTTACACTTTGTAAAGGCTTCCAGCAGTTTAAAGTGAGGGTTAATTTTGCATTAAGACCATTGCCTCCTAGTTTCTTTCAAATAAAGCCAGGGGAAGTTCAGGGGAAGGCTCTTTCCTCTGATAATGAAGCTCTCCGTGTTAATGATGCATGCAGGCTCCCTCGGATCCTCTGAATTAGAAATACTCTTGTGTGTGCACGCTACTCTGCTTCATTAACATTAAGGAGCGGTAGATTGGTGGCTATTTAGGGCACAGTGAAATCGCTGGCTATTTAGGGCAAATGGAAATGGTGCTAATTGTGGCTGGTAATTCCATTAATAGGGTACTTCCATTTTGGTGTCTGTTTGGCATGTAGGTGAAAAAAAGAAACACACTGACACCCTTTCAAGGGGAATGTCGTCTCAGGCTCATTATTGTCTTGTACCAGTTAACTTCCATGCAGACCTGCAAAGTTTTCCATGCTCCCCAAATTTTTGTTTTGCTGTGCTGGCATTCTCTCAGGAGTAGGGTATGTGTTTGTGGGTGGCAACACCTCAACCAAGTTATGTAAAAGGCAAGGACAGCATTCCAGGTCAAGGAATCCCCAGAGATTTCAGGCCGTAAGATCTCTCTTGTTCGCTTTCCATTCTCAGTCATGAACAAACTTGCAGGTGAAGGTCAGGGAACCCAGACTGCCATGGTAAGAAACCACGCAAAGCCTGTTCCTCAGAAAGGTTTACCGGCATAAAAAAAAGGCATTTTCAAACCAAAGATTCTCCAGGGAAGGTTGCCTGTCTCTCTATCCCAAAGACTGAGAACAATAAACTGAAAAAGAAAGTTGGTAGTGTCTGAAGCAGTCAAAAATCTACCCTAGCTTTGAAGTCTAGGAAGAGAGGACTTGTCTATTATAAGCAGGCATACTCGGAAAGATGTATTTCACTTAACTGTAACCATCTGGAATTTAGCTGTCTAGTTTAAAATATTTATTTGGGGTGTTTTTATAAACCTCTTGTCAAGATTGGTGTCAAACAGGGTTGGATTCATAGTTCACTAGCCAGTGAATTCACATTCACATTCACTAGCGAGTAAATCTACATGGTTAGTGTGGACTTGCCACCTAACTTTCTGACAGATCAATCGGCTGTATCCCTCCCTGTATCCCAGCAGGATTCCCACTTCTTCTGTCTTTAAAACGTCTTGGAAGTACCAGGTAGAAGTTCCTGAGAAAAGCGACTCAAGCTGTCTCATCAGACTTCTCCAGCGATGAAGAGTAAAATGAGTAAAGAGCAAAACCACGCGGATTTACGTTGCACAGAGGACGGGTCTGAGTCTCTGTCACTTGCTGTGGCATCGTGCACCTTTGGAACTCAATAAGGCAATTTCTGATGAGCAGGAGAGTTTAATCTTGCATCACGTTATGTGTGGTGTGCTTCTGCTGCTAGAATGTTTTCCTGAATACCTGTACAGGTGCTGATAACTGTGGCAATAATGTGCTTGTTGTCATTTACTTGCTTAATTAGCAGCCTAATATCCTGGTCCAGTTAATGCCTATAAGAGGAGGTTTATTAGTAGTACGAAAGCTGTTTAAGCCTTATAAACTCCTTCCAGTCAGCTTCATTGGTCTGCCAATATCTTCTGGTTGAGTGATTCTTTGTTGATTCACAATTCTCCTGTTTCCGATTGCTGTTTATCAGCTGAATGTTTCTGAGTAACCAGAAAGTCCTTTGCCAAGGTGACGGCCACCAGAGTAACAAAAAAAAAAAAAACCAAAACCAAACCACAGAACTGATTTTAAAAGAAAAAAAAAATCTGCAGGCAACCTTCCTCCAAAATGATTGCTATTGCAATTATGTGTTGTCTTTAAAGCAGCAAGGGGAAAACCAACCCAAAATTGCAAATAAAAACAGGCAAATTGCAGGATGGCCTGAGTTTTAGCACTGTCTACCTTGGGTAAGTAAACCATAGCCAGCCTGGAGGATTGGGTAATATGCCGAGATGTCTAGTTGTAGGGTAAGACTCCAATATTTAGAAATACCATTTTAGATATGCTTAAAAGAAGGGGGGGGGGGGGGGGAATTTAAGCTTAGTGTCAGCTCAAATGCCAAAACTGACTAGGTGGACTAAAGGTGAAACTGCCAACTTGCCTTGGTCCTGCAGCAGCACTTGATTCATCTATAAATCTGCTACATTCATTTTTTATGGCAGAATCATGGCCCCAGGGTACCTTGGCAAGCCGGCAAGACTTCTCTTCAGCTGAGAATAAGATCTGCAGTCCTGGGACATGTATCCCTAGAAAGTCCCCATGTGTAATGTGATGAATACAAGAAGCAGGAAAAAACTTGTTAGTTGCAGCTGCAACCCCAATTTTCTTACAAGCAGGCCTAGTGTTGGCAGGGCTGGGGATGGGACATGTTAGTGGTGATGGGGTAAGACCCTTGCTAGAATTTGGGATGGTTCCATCAGAGCTCCTCCTGTATCTTCAGTGGCATAGCCAACCCTGCATCAATCCCCTTGCAAGCCAACTGGAATCATGCTCAGGGTGGGGAATAATCTCTGCCAGTTGCTACAGAGAGGAGTTCCACAATGAGATGCATCAAATAGATGGACAAGCTTAAGCAGTCTGTGCATGTGTGTGGAGTAAGGGGACGGGGAGGAGATTCTTAGGCTAGGATTTATTCTTCCTTCTTCCTGAGTTTTGATATCAAAATGCAATTTCTAATGTGGAGGTCTTGTCACCCAAGTTCATTCAGGCCATGGAGAAACATCGGCTCCAGAGAACATTTTAGCTCACTTCACATCTGACACCCTCTGGAGGAGCTTGATGCTCCTTGTTGCCTCTAGAAGGAGAGGACACCTTCCCAATCTCATTCCATATGTGAAGCAGCCACGGTGTAGCTAATCAGAGCACAGTTTCAACCATAGTTTCTATCATTTTCAAGAGCTGTTATAGGAACGCAAGATGCTGAGGACTGGAGGGAAGGTTTTTGTTTTGAAGAAGCACCTTATGATCAGGTGTCCCTGATCAATCAGACATGAAGAGACAATGGATGTTCAATGTTTGAATGTCGGAAGGGTTAGCTGCATTTCAGCTTTATCTTTTCCTTCACATAGTTTGTTTCCTTCAACAAAGCAGTTCCCGAAAGCAGAGTATTCTGTATCTCTGGACTTCACCTTACATAGCCTTCCATCTTGGGCAAAGTGGCAATCCTAGCAGTAAGAGGTTATTCTGGCCAGATGCCCAAGTAATCAAGATCAGTTTAGCATGATTTGAAAAAAGTCTATGTGAACCAAAAAGACAGAGCCTGCCCCTGAGAGAAAGTTGAAATGGTTGGTTATAACCATCCCAGCTTCACTGTGTTATTTCCTATTTTTAGTAAAGAAAGGACTCCAGAGGCCTTAAATTTAAAGTGTTTATGCCCACTCATATCATTACTACTGTTGATCTTCTCAGTGAGTTTTTCTCTCTGACTAGATTGGACAGAAATTAGGAGTGCAAAGTTCTAGTGAAAAAGGTGTTTGAGTTCTCATCTGGGTGTTCAAAACTGCTGTTCTGAAAGTTCACCCATTTTGTGAAGGCTTTCATCGGTCTGGAGCAGCCCAGGCTCCACACTGTATGCCGACCTGGGCGCAGAGCAGCTTTTAGAATTACACAGGATTTTTGAACCTTCAGCCTCAGATAAAACTTTCGACTGCTCAAATGTGAGTGAGTAACAAGAAAACTATCAAATTTCATGAAGACGAAGATCCTGAAAGTTGAACCTGAGGCTCATGAGTCTGGTGGATGGCGAAATACTCTGACAGTGTAGGAGCTGGTCCCCTGGCTGCTGCCATTGGTTTGCTTTGGCACAAGCCTTGCTCCTCTGTGCCTTTATTCCTCTACCCTTTGCCTCTTTTTCTCTCTTTCTCTTTTTGTGGCACTTCAGGCAGAGATCATTTCTTACTGTATTTGTAAAGAACTACACAAATGAAGTCACATTCTGAGAGAGAGCCAGTATATACTACTGTAATTCAGATAAAAACCAGAATTGTAAAGGCTGCAAAATTACAGAGTTCAATGAAAAAAATGTGATTATATTTTTGTCCTCCAGAAACAACGCTCCAGACAGTCCCTATAATTTAACTGTGACTGACAGTAGGAATAAGACAACCACAGTCAATTACGTCCCTGATACTTTATCAAACCTGTATGGCTGGATGGTTCTCCTCTTGGATAAAGAGACTTATGCATTGACATTTGACAACCCTTTGGTCAGCAAACGGCTCCAGGTAACAAGGGGGTTTTTTTATAATTTCAAAGTTACATTTGGAAGAGATAATCATGCTTTAATCTTTCTGGGTGAGCAGCAAGAGGATGTATTTATAGGCAGGGCTTAGATATAATGACCTAGTCCCTGAAGCTCTCAGTAGTAACTTGGAACAGGAAGATGATTTTGGATGTCTTAGATGAAAGTGTGGTGCTTAGGAATCAAGAAAATTTCTACTAACTTAAGGCATACTGAAGCATTGTTTTCAGAAGACGGTGTTCCTCTGCACCTCTGAGGGGAGTTGATTTTGTCTGCATACACCATCACCTTCTGCTTAATTTTACTTCTCTCTTCCATGTTTCCAATACACATTTTGCAAAGGAATATGTTTTCTGTGAGGAGCACCACCCTCTTTATCCCTTTATACTGCGCTCCATGGAGCTCTAATCACAGACATGGGCATGTTTATTTTGGTTCCCTGTTCTCCAGTACTCGGTGACATTTAGCAACTTCACTACGGGGAATTACTTGCTGGTGGAACACAGGGATCTTCCCGCCCATGTTGAGGTTGTGGTAGCCTGTGGGACAAGGACTGGACAGCCACTCCAATTTCTGCCTTCATATGGACATCATAGGAGCTGTGACTGGTATCTTGACAGCAGACTGAGGACGCTGACCTATTTGGGTAAGTGCAATACGAGGGATGCAATGTACCTTTTTGTTCAAGAATGGTGACAGAGCTGATGTCTTTTTAATTTAAACCCCCAAACTAAACAAGGCCTTAGACACAAGGCCACCTTCCAATGGCCTTTCGATAAGTGCAAGGTCCTTCAAAAAGATCAGTCAAATAGGTAAATGCGTGTACAATCAGGTCCATCTCTATCTGATCTACCTGATGTCTGATCTATCAACAAAAGGAATGTATCACAAGCAGTGGGTGATGTGACTTCAGTTGAATTTGAATTGGTGCTTTGGAGAGGAAAAGGCATTAAATTCCACTAATGATCTTTGTTGTCAGGTATCACACATATCATTAATAAATCAAGTGCAATCTATCTGGGTTGAGCCCACTGAAGGCAATAGGATTACTGGGTGAGAATTTTTCCTATGACTAAACTTCCAAAGATGTCATAGACCTTTACATTTGAGTATCTTGGCTTTGTATACTAGATCATGAAATATCACAGTCTTTTTTTTTTAATGAAATTCAGACATTTACTAATATTTATTCAAGTTTCTTTTATTATTTTAAATTTGGGACCTTTTCTGCAATTCCCATTCTCAAGCAAAAGATTTTATAAGGGTGTAAGTTCTATATGTAAAAGGCAAGGTAATGATTGTTGTCATTATTAATAACAGTAAAACCTGGAATGACAAATATGTTTCGGTGCCTTTGAGAAGCATATCTTATCCTTTATGACTGTCATACAGGGAAGCTAAAGTATAAAGATGTTGATTTTCACAGTAACAGAAAATTTTGTCACTGATCTAATCCATTAGTTTTAATGAATTTCTCTTGATTTGCACTGATGAGATGGCATGCAAATGGCTTTCTCATGTAGGATCTGGTTAGGAATGAACAACTGGAACAATCAGTGGGACAGTGGAGAGGAAAACACAGCTGGAATGAGGGCAGGCAATCCACTGAGCTTAGTCTGACAGCAATGAAAATTGTCCAGCGTATATTTGAGGAGAACTGGGGAAGCCCATACCTTAACCTCAGTCCAAGGGTCACACTTGCTGCATACATCTCTGGTCCTGCGGCCAACTGGCATTGCACAGCTTGTGTCCATACAGCTTAACATTTAATCTCTTACAACAGGCTGGATGCACCCAGGCTTCAAATTAGGACAGATCCCTGTCCTGTGCTAACTCCCAAACCATAATGGTCACCATCTGTGAGAGTGCACTAGTCTGGGCCAAAGCTGTGCCAGGAACTTGGCCAACAATATAGCCATGGAGATTATTGGGGTCAAGCTCTTAGTTCCCTGTCCTGGCCCTGTTTAGACACAGTATAGATAGAGATTGACTAGTACAAGTCTAGCTGTTGAGTCTAAGTCTTGCCCGAGATCATGCCAGGTATCCACTGAAAGAAGAAATATGTTTTTATTATTTCAGTTTGCTAACAGCATAGGTTTGTTCTTTCACATATAAAAGGAAACTTTTTCAGTTTGCATATCCTGAACTGCGCTTTCATAAGCAGGGCAGCATGGGAAAACTCAGAAGATGACACCTGTATCTTGGCTTCTTATTACTCTTGAAAACAGAGGAGATAACAGTCTTGGAAAGACCGAGACAAAGTAATCTGGCCGGCATATGTCACTCTTGCATCATAGATGCTTTCTCGTCCTTCTCTTTCCTTCCTTTCGTCTTGGTTTTTATTATATGAAGAGCTCGTTGTTGTTTCTCATTTTAATACAGAGAGAAACAATCATCCAGAGTACACGAGGGGAAATTTATGAAAACACCTAACATGTATAATTGATTCTGTGAACACTTTCAGCAAGGACTTTTATAGCAGTGAGATCAATAATTCAGTGTCGGGTACCTAATATCTAATGCTGTTGGTAGGGTAAAAGTCTTAAACAAAGCGAGCAGATTCTTAGCCCTGCTGTGCCATTTAATTTCTCTCCTAATCACTGTGCAGGCTGAGAGGGTGAGGATAATTATCTATCAGAGCAGACTCATGGCATGTGGTGGACTTTCCATCACTCAGGGTCCTTAGATGATGCTTGGCCATCTTTTCAGAGAAATATGCTCCAGCTCTACGAGAAGCTATTAGAAACCTCATGAGGCGAGATTCACGCTCTGTAGGAGGTCAGAGAAGGCTGCCACAATAGTCCCTTCTGGCTTGAAAAACCTACCGGTGCACGCACCGATCTGGAGAGGACAATGCTTGAAGGTCTGGCCTTCAGAACCCGTTCCCACCTAACTCTGCAACTGTTTTTTTTTTATTTTTTTATTTACACTTAACTATATGAAATAATTAGCCAACTAATTAATCCGGTTTACAAGCTTTGTCGGATTCTTCAGCTGTCAGTCATGCCCGAGCCCGGGGCCGGCGTTGAGTCTCAGCTCCCTCCTTCATCTGACTTGGTCTCCATGGCTACAGGCTGCATCTGCTGACACCCCACTCTCTATTTACTGCTTAATTAAGAATTTCACGCTCAGCCCTTATCTGCTGCTAAGAACAAGAACACACTGTTAAGAAACTCCAAATTTAGGCTGCTGCACAAGGAAAGCCTTTCTTGTCGTCCTGACTGCGTGGAGCCTCTTTAACTACCCTCTTGGCAACTGCGCTGCCACCCTTCAATCAAAAATCATTAAATGGGGCAGAGATAATGAGCATGTAGCATATCAAAAGGAGGATGTTTGCTCGGGCTAAGGAGGAAAAGCTGTAAGGGCCTATAAGCAGCCGCCACTTCAAAGGGAGAAGGGGCTGATAAAGAGTCATTTGTTCCTGTTTGACTTATGTAAAAGGTCTGGTATGTCGGAGTCCCGTCTCGCAGACGCGGGTCCCCCCTCTCGGAGCTCGTGTGTCAGCAGTCAGGCAGCTGGGCGCAAACAGCATCAGCCCAAGCATATAATCACTTGACTCCACACCGACAATGGGCACTTGTAGGGGGTGGCAGAGGGAGGGCTGGGGGACAATGAGAAGACAATTATTGCAGCTGCTCGGGAGGGCCATAATTCTTTCTGCAGAAAGTAGCCGGCTCTTGCAGGGCGGAGGGGAGAGCTCGAGCGTATTAGTCATCCTCCGACTTTTGGAAAGCCTTCGCCGCGCCAGTGGGGTTTCGACAGCTGCTGGTGTACTGCCTCTTTCCAATAATTGTACATTCTGGCAGGGGTCAACTTACTTTTGACCCTTTGCCTTTGTGCCCATCAGAAAGCCTTTTAGGGCAAACGGTGGGGAAGTGGCGGGGGTGCATTACAGCCAAAATTAACGTCAGTAAATACGTATCAGATGCCAGCTCATTCACAAGCAGGCTCCTGGATTCACACAGCCTTTTGCTCAGGCCTGCATGGAGGGGAAAAGGGAGAGAATGAGAGGGAAGACCCCAGGATTGAGAAGACATTGTTATTCAAATGAAGCGGGCAGCTGAATGAAGCCACCTTGGCCAGCAGTTTGCGTGGGGCTCAGGCTTTCTCCGTGCCCCCACTTCCATCTGAAATTGCCCAGCGTCATGCAAGAGTTTATCTTTGGGGGAGAAAAAAAGGTCTGTCTAACACAGAAGGCAAGAAAATACACCGTATGGAGGGGATTAAAGGAGTTAAGTTGCCATGATGCTTTGCATGCTTCCAGTTTTGTAAATTAGACCTTGGCATGGGACAATGCAGGGGATGCTGAGTGGGGAGAAATAATTGTAATGGAGGGTTTTTCTTCAATGGGGGCCACCTATGCAATGATCCTGTTAACAAATGTACTTGCTGCTACCTACGCAGATCAATCCTGCTAACTAACCCATAAGTCCCTTTGAAAATAATCTTTTCGAACCATTTTAAAAGAATCAGCAGTAAAGGATAGATAACCCATGTCCCTGCTGGATGCTGGGCGAGGGGGAGGCGAGGAAGCTTGGGACATCCCAAGCTTTACACTGATATTATTCATCTTCATAGCATCATCCTGATCTTCTCTGGGGCACCCCATGTCTTGAGACAAGTGTTCCTCAAAGGTCACTGATGGGGACTGGAGTTGGTGTGTGGCTCCCTGAAACACTGATGGATTGTGGCTCAGCCATGTTTCAGGAGAGTGGTCCTAACATGACGTGACCACGCTGAATCAAGAAAAACTTACTGTAACAAGGGAGCTGTAAAGAAACATCATGCTGCAATATCTGGGACATTTTTAGGAGAAATATCCTGTGTAAATTAAAATAATATTATGAGCTTTTAAAGTCTCTTACAACTATGAGCATACGGTGCCACAGTGTGGTACTGCTCCTTGGTTAAGGTCTCTGGGCAATACTGGAATTGGCTAAAAACCAGAGATGTTGTTCCCTTTTTGTTCACTTTTGAAGTGTTTAAACCATTTTCTTTTGGAATGAAACAACGTGTTGGCTTGCTCCATCTCCAGATTTCACTTGGCTTTTTTTCTCAAATTGAAGTGCTTGGCACTAACATTATTGAAAACATCACTGAAGGATCATCAAACTTTTTATTTACCCCAAATACATTTTTCAGTAGACTCAACTTTTATGGAGACGGGTCATCCTACTGACTTTGCTCAAGCTACTCATGTGTGAGTTGTTAAGAGGACCTGAGGCCCAACCTTACATTACTGCTGTGTCAGAAGCAGGTTTACAATTTCCATAGTTCTTAAAAAAAAAAAAAAACATTGATTACACTTAATGTCTTTTCTAAATTCCTAAAGAATGATCTCACTTCCTTTACACTCTGTGGGTTTTTGTAGTTTCTTTGTATAAGAGAAAAAACAAGCCCTTAAGAAGGTTTGTTTCTAATATTAAAATACAGAAAATAAATAAACAAAGATATTTTCTGCAGACTTATTCCTCAGGGGTAAAGGAGAATCCTGGGTGAAAGATGTAAATAATGGAGTTAATTTGTTACAGAGGACTGGCTGTACAGGCATGAGTGTTTTCTTCCAGCTACATAAAACTCACCCTATATCAGAAGGTCAGTTGACCACATCTGGGCTGCTCAGTGGTCTCCATGAAATGAAATGGCAGTTCTTAGCAAAGAGGTGCCCTTTGTAAGAGACACAAAGAGAAAAATAAACCTTCTCCTGACGGATGAGCTCCTGTCTTTCTGGCATGGCAAAAGAGAGACCAGAGAACGTAGCAGTTAAGGAAATAAGATGATAAAATGCACTTATAATCCTGCCAGGGATGGTCTTTCAACTATGCAATCTCTGCTGGAAGAATTTACTCTTCTCAGTGGTGCCCAGCACCAGGACAAGGGGCAATGGGGACAAACTGAAGCATAAGAGGTTCCAGTTGAACGTGAGGAAGAACTTCTTTACTTTGAGGGTGACAGAGCCCTGGAACAGACTGTCCAGGGGGGCTGTGGAGTCTCCTTCTCTGGAGATATTCAACCCACCTGGATCATGTCCTGTGCCCCCTGCTCTGGGTGAGCCTGCTTGAGCAGGGGGATTGGACTGGGTGATCTCCGGAGGGCCCTTCTGCCCCTTGACATCCTGTGATTCTGTGATTCACAGTGCTTGGACAGAAAATATCTGCTAGAAAATGTTGCATGTCCTCATATTGCAGGGGTAACCTCAGCTGAAAGCAGTCTGGGATTCTGTGATTCTGTAATTTCATGCCTTCACCTCCACCACTGCAAATATTAATCTGCTGTAAGCAAGAATCTGCATCCATTATTCCAAATCTTTTTTTTTTTTCCCCCCACAACTCTTCTCCTCACTGCAGTGTCCCCATGATACCATATTTCTGGGTACCTCCTGTAACAGATCCTGGTAGAGGATGACAAAATATCCTATCCCAGGTTCTCCAGTTTCTAGAGGTGTGTCTCACTGTGTTGTTGATTGTGCTGTCTAAAAGTTTTGATTTTCCTGTGATGTATGTTAGCCCAATTGATGTTAAATAGCATGGAGTCGCTTGTTATTTGTAAGTCAGGCTATTGGAGCCATTTATCCTCGTTTCAGCCCTTCCTAATATCCACAGGCAAAATTCCCTGTCACTGCAAAGCTGATAAAAGACTAAGTTGCTCCTCCTTCATGTTCACTCAAGGAGCCCTGAACCAGAAGAAAGTTACCGGGAGTATCGTCAAGAAGACCTGTATTTATGATTCACAGGCCAAACATTCAGGAAGAGCTGTAATAAGACAGAAAATTGATGAGCCTTATAAAGGTTTTATACAACTAAACCCTGGAGCCTTATAACTACATTTTGTGAAGAGTCACCTTAATTCAATGTTTACTAATGACGTCCTTTGTCTGCATTGCCTGTATCTCTTCCTGTCCTATACAGAAACAATGATAACATTCTCGGCAGCAAAACAAAACCAGAAGGACTATGTCACTGTAGTCCTGATTATTCCCAAGGCCTGTGTCTCTCCTATTTTGATTAGTTTTTAGGAGTATTTGTGGGAAATGGCAACAAAATTCTACAGATTCACAACTGTTGCACTTCACACCCCATCAACATAAATAATTGTGCAAGTTGCAGGGCTGTGGAGAATTCCACCCCTAATTCCTCCACTCATGTAGAGCCTATAAATGACTTATAATGGTTGGAATTGTCATGCTCTGTAGTTGGATGACACTCCAAATATGAGAAACTTTTATCCTTGCCCTGACTCTGGACATGAGTGTACTGAGTTAAGTCTTAACGGTTCCTTTCTTCACTGTGTAAGGGGATTGAACAATTTTATGAGGTCTATATAGCATATCGATCAAGTTTTATGTCCCCTCAGGAGTTAATTAGAACAGCTTTTCTCTGAACAATACAAACATCCTTAATTAGACAATTGCACTGTAGTGCCTGCAGAATTAAGCCCCCGAACAAAAAAAAATTTGACAAAATATATTTATTGAAAAAAGGGTAGTGTCAGGGCTTGGTTCTCTCACTTTTCCTAAGACTGATGTAACACCTTTGATTCCTGATGTGCCCTGCTATACATGAGAAGGAAGGCCACCAGAACCATAAAAGTACCCATAGAAGAGTATTGTCTAAAAGCCACATGAACTCCCATGTCAAAGACTTTAAATTAGCATCTTCATGTCATTCTTTCTCCTCAGAGATTCACCTTGTGGCCACCCAAAGACATGAGGCTGTTCAGTTTGAGCTGTCTGTGATGATTTGGGGCAGATTGGCTTGACTGATGTATGGATCAGATCACAGCTACCGTTGGGAGAGAAGGTGTCACTGAAGAACAGGGCTGAGGCACCTGATTACTAATTAATCAGATATGAGAAAAACCTCATGGAATCAGTTTCTATTTAATTATGGAAGCCTCATTTGGCATAGGAGCATATGCTGCTAACTCAATCGAGTGCTTTCAACTGACATCAAATAGTAATTATCAGAAAGAATCAAGTTTTTTGATTATTCATACTAATTTATTGAACACTTAAAATTAATGAACCTCAGTTATTTTAAATTTGCTCAGTTGCACTGGGAGAAAAGGAGGGAGGTAGGGAAGGACGGTTTTCACAATTTAAAAGTACAGAGACTTGTTTAAAGATAAAATAAGTAAATTACAATATGGCGTGAAATCCCATCGGCGGGCTGATATACACATAGGAAAGCTCCTGACGTGTTCTGGAACTGAGGAAACTTCTGACAATGGCTTCATTTCTCCAATTCTTCTACCCACAAAAAATCTTCCAATGACATTTTAAGGGGTTGGGCAGTGTACAGGAGATTCATCTCTTTGTCAGAGCATTTCTGTTTTAACCTATGGTTGTTCCAGTCTGGTGACTGAAAGGAAGCGCCACTGGAGATGGAGAGGAGGTTGCCTTTTAATTGGGTCTTGAAGCAGTTTTCTCCTGCTCCTCTTAGTTTGATTTGCATTATCCTGGTCCTTCTCCTGCTGCCAATACACCGGCACAAAGGTTACAACTGTGATAATTGCTTCTGACCTCTTTTCACAGTAGAGAACGCAGGGTCCCTGTCTTCAGTCTATAAAGTCTGACTAATTAAAGCATCTTTCTCAGATACCAGGTTTGGGGGGGAAAAAAAAAAAGCAAAACAACCAAAACCAAACTACAAAACAAAAGCTGTAATTTGCTGTTTGAGCCAGTTAATACATTATGCATTCAGTGGTGTAATATTGCTTGTGTTAGTGGAACTGCTGTGGATTTATAGTGGGATAAATGAGATTTGTGTTCCAGCCTAGAATTTCTGATTGTTGGATGTTTTCTTTTAGCTCTTTCTAATGAGTTGTCTTGAGACCCTCTGTATCTGTAAATTAAAATGTATTTGTTTAATCCTTTCCTAAAGTATAAAAAAGACAAAAATGCTTAGAAAACATGTATAGTTACTCTTAAAAAAAAAGTTTATTAGAAATATAAAATGTTGTGAGGAAATCACACGTAGCAATGGATTCACTGTGATTTTTTTTTTTGTGTTAATTTATAAGGCCTTGCTGTAACTCCTTAAAATTCTGTGTTCAGTCACAGGAGCTGACTTGATTCAGGTCACACTGAAAGAGAAGGAAAGAGCGGCTGTCCCTACCCCAGGTGCGTGACGGTCTGTGTCTGAAAGGCTTGGTCTGGGAGGCACACCATTTCTTTTTTACTGCTTTTTCAGAAAAAGATTGCTATTTTTCACTTCAATATTTTGTACATCTATCAACCCAACAGGGGCTCTTGGCATTCATTCAGGCATTTCATTGAACCATATCTACCTTTGCTGATGATAAATGTATGATTCCACGGCATAAAAGACTATAAACTTTTGTTAAGAAATACCATAGCAGATCAGAAAGGTCATGGAGAATGTAAGACGATGGTGTATTTTAGTGCTCCATAGTGATCTTAGTGTAATAGTCTGACATTACTGCACAGCTACATGTCGAACCAGACAGAAAAATACAGCAGAGAAAGGGAAGACCTCCAAAGTTTGGTCTTAGTTGCATAGCTGCCTTGCGTATTAACAACATTAATCACTTAGTTAAAAACTCAATATAAGGTTTAGGGACCTTTTTGCAGAGTGTTGCTCCTGAACAAACAAGTAATGGAAAGACAGACCCAGCCTTAAGGAGCTCCATCTGGGTTTAATTTTTCCATGTTTCCCTGTGCTGGCCACAAGAGGATTTTTCTACTCCACAATGCTACTGCGCAGGGTCTAGCCCCCCACCCTTAGGCGTCAGCTTGCTCCTGTAGTTTCAATGCCCAATGAAGCCCTCCTCAAGAAAAAAAAAAAAAGCCAGAATATCCTTCACAGTGGTAGGACAGAGGTAGGTGCTTGTAGAGGCCTCCAGAGGGAGGCCCTGCCTGCGTTAGTTTAGGGCTTACTAAATTTAGTGTACAGGATTTCTCCCTGGAGGCTTTCCTTCCTCTCTTAATGGCAGAGCAAACTTAGGCAATTAATTTATGAAGACTGGCTCATTACCTGCCTAAAATATAAGTGCAAGTTAAGCACCTACATTTTGTCAATTTAATTTCTCCCTCATATTAAAGCTCAGAAGTTTCCTTTCGGATTGAGCTGAAAACCAGATCTTTGGGGAATGAGCAGGAGCATCTCAGTCACGCTGGTTTTCCAGGGCAGGTCTTCATTATCCTTTGAAATGGGAAGACTCCTGCTTTTCTGAGGGCTAACAAGCTTCTGAGAGTTGGTCACTCATTTTTTAAAATCTTTCGTACTTTAGGAAAGTATGGAAATTCCCATACTGGAATTCAATCTGCTTTCTAGAGCACCGGGGGAGAAAAAATACATGAAGAGAAGAGTTAGCCCTTTCTGGTAGGGTTGGTTATCATTTTGATCCAAGAACAGGTGACTGGCTTTTGTTTTCATTTGTTTATCCTAATGTTGTGTTCAAAGTGCTCAGTGCTTTGGATGGCATAAATAAAAAGCCATTGCCTGTGAAGCATATTCGCAAGGCGTATCATAAGCTAAGTATGACAAACCTCAAGCTTTGCTTTGCTTTTGATGGGTCCCAAAGAATGTGAATCTTTTTTTTTTTTTCAGCTATCTCCCTGCCCTTTAGCTTTGAAAACATGGTCCTGGGAGAGTTCTTTTTTCCCATCCAGCAGCTTCCTTGAAGTGTGGAAGATAACAAAGAGCAGTTAGTGTTGCTTCATCAGTGACAAAAGGGGGATGTTAATGCCAAAGATGCTTGACTGACAAAGAAATGGTAATTCTCCCAGCTACTGAAAATGATAATTCTGCTTCTGTATGTCCTGTTTTGTAGTTTCTTCTGATGCTGTCTTGAAATGGTCGCACCCAGAGACATGGAACGGTGTGGAAAAAGGCTGGGGTGGATTCAACCACAGCATCCCAGGCCCTGGGGAAGATGTCATCATCCTACCTAGTAAGGAAGGAAGGAAAGGTGTATAATTTCTGTAGGGGTGCTGGGGTCTGTTTACATTAGGATATGTATTTGTGTTGCAACATGGGCTCCTTGTCACTACTGACCATTCTAGTGTGTGCAGGACACCACATTTGTTCCTTGTCATATTGAAATCTTGGCTATGGTACGCAAGTGTGATTTCTGGAACAGAAGAGCCATTCTTTTCCATTTACACAACACAAACACACACACACACTTACTTACTCATACTGATATTGAAGCCTAATTATATGCAGGGACTTTATTTCTGGAGGAGAAAAATTACAAGACCCAAAATCACAGCTCACAAAGAGCTCATCTCTTGACCCACTTCTCTGTGTTTTGTGCAGGGAGCATATTTTATATTTCCACAATTATGCCACCTTCCATTTTCACAGAATCACAGAATGTCAGGGTTTGGAAGGCACCTCCGGAGATCATCCAGTCCAACCACCCTGCTCAAGCAGGCTCACCCAGAGCACGGGGCACAGGACAGTGTCCAGGTGGGCTTTGAATATCTCCAGAGAAGGAGACTCCACAACTCCCGTGGGCAGCCTGTGCCAGTGCTCGGGCACCCTCAAATTTTATTTTCCTGTTTCAATTCCCACTATCAATGATAATCTCTCAATCCATTTGCTGTGGATGCCTCCTAGATTTTTTAGCCTATGCCTGTATTTCATCCTCAGACTTGAGTTACATTTAAATCCCAGCTCAGTTTACAACATTTTGCATGAACAACCTTTTGAATTCTAGCAAAAATATTAGTCAACTTGCAATGAAATCTGGAGGAAAGAACTTGTGATAACCTTTTTACCTAATAGCTGGCCCTGCTCTCATTGGGCAGTTGGACTTGATGATCTCCTGAGGTTCCTTCAGATGTAATTATTGTATGATCCTATGAATACTGTGCAGTATGTACCTGAAATACTCTGGGACATTGTTCTGGCTCCTTCTCATTTATTTGAAACCAGATAAGTCTCTCTGCCTACCACAGCTTTACTTCTGGAAATGGGGATAACACTGCTCCATGTCTCTTCCTCTTCCACCTGGTTTTGGTTTATGAAGTCTTTGTGGAAGGAAGTTTCTGTTGCTTTGTGTTGGCATTTGGGCGTGGAGCCTCAGTCATAGTTAGGACTTCTCTGTCCTGTGTCATTAAAAATAATATATATATATATAATTTCAGATTAAATTAAGAATTATGCTCAACCGTCAATGAATAATTAGTTCAATCTTCAGTTTTCTGACAAACATTAAAAACCCCCATGTTGTTTGAAATAATACTTTTCTTCACTTCTTGAGGGGGAGCTTACATTATACTGAAGAGTGGATAATTTCCATTTTCTGATTAGGTCCCTATTTCCTATCCAACAAGAAAAACGTGTTTTTTTCAGTTCTGTCATCTCACTAGCATAAATGTGGTTAAGTGTTTGTAAGTTCAGAGGCCAGAGAAGGCACATAAATGTCCCTCTAGGGGTTTGTTTATGTCCTGTAGGTCCTGTGTCCTATGTGCACCTAAGGTAACAGTAAGCACATATGTTTAGGCACCTTAACCTCTTCCTTGTCATTACAGTTAGCAGAGCTGGAGGAGTAACTGAGATGACCAAATGTGGGTATCTAATGTGAACTGAGTTGTACTTCTCTGATGGTATTATGTAGAGTTCCAGGGCTCAAGTCACTTGCTTATTTGAAGATATCTATCATTCTTTGAAGCACTCCAGGAACATCTTGCCTAGCCAGGTGAAATCCTAGGTGGTCACAGATGTCCCCTATGTCATATTTGCCAGTCCTGTGTGAGGTCTCAAATATCCAAGGGCATTTCAGATAGTATTAAATGCCTAAATGAATTTACTAAGGTGGGAGTTTAGACATCTAGGTCCCATCAGACAGCTCAGTTCAGGTGCCATAAGGCCTGAACCTCATTTCTCCAGAGCACGTTCAGCAGCACCTGAGATATGAACCTAGTCTGCCATTAATATATGTCCTCTGAATCATGATGTGAAGGTCTACATCTATTTCTGGTATAAACAACACTAACATCCATATAAAGGTCTTGCAGTTGGGAAGCTGTACCAGAACAGGGGATTGACCCTCAATCTCCAAAGTCCAAATGTAGCACTCAAAACACCAGACTTGCTTTCCTCTTCCAGCAACATTACTCCAGCCACCTCACTGGTACTTCATGTTAAACCTGTGCCTGCTTGCCATTCAGAAACACAGCATCCTTTCTGTGCTGTGCTCCCTGTTTCCTACTCCACTCTCAACTGTGTTATATCTGACCCCTTATGCGGGCATTAAACTGGGCAGCATTTCTCATGTGCTTTACTCTTTTTTGGATCCTCTTGCCAGTGTTGAATTTTGCATGCCATTGCGTATTTTGTCCTTCATAGCTCTCCAAGAACAAGGCCAGACACAACACCAGATGATCTGTTTCAGTTTCTTGTGTATCACGTTATAAGCAGTTCACCAATATGAGCCCATGATTGTCAAAAGACCAAATTATTTCAGTGTTCAAAGCCATATGTCAGGTGCAGATATGAAGAGGCACAAAGGTGGCACCAGTAGCTAAGGTCTCTGCACTGACAGTGAGTTAATTATGTGGGGTGTGCTAAGATGGTCACTGGAGGTAAATAACAGTCTACACAGAATGAGAAAGTAAGAAATAAAGAAAAAAAAAAGGGGGTTGTCTAAGGATTTAGAGTTCTGTTGTTTAGATTAGATTAAGAGTGTAGGGGCTGGATGCTGAGGTTGTGATGGTCCTTTGGTGCACTGCAAACTCACCTATGAATAAAACTCCTCTGTGCTTCCCGCAAGGGTGAGTGTAAACCTCATGATAAAATAACTGATTTTAGCTACCCTGTGAGATATTAACCATGGCCTTTGTCACATACCACAGGGCCCTTTATGACTAAGCTGCCCTTGAATCATTGCACATTGCTGCCCACAGCCCAGCCCAACTAATCTAGTTCTAGGACTGGAAACAATACCGCTGCATCAGCATGCTGGTACACCAGAACTAATTAGCTCTCCTGAGAGGAAAAGCTCATTAGCTCAGGCCTGGCGCTGTGCAGCATGACCGCACAGCCTTTGGGGTCAGAACTAACGTCTCCCGAATTTAGAGCAGCGGTGGTTTGGTCAGTTTAACTGGGGAATTTCTGCACTGAAGGATGTGGGACAGGAATTCTCTCTCGCATGCTGGTGCCTACTAGTTGGGAGGCAGCAGGGTAAGGGTTGGACTAGTAGATATGATCTGTGTTTTACCATGGACAGGAATGTTCTCTGCCTATGAGAAATTGAGGGGCCAGGACAGTAAAGGTTGCCTCAAACCAGAACACAAGTTGTTGCCTGAGCAGGATGAGACCCTGGGAATTCCCAGTTCTGAATCGCCGAGTTCAGCTGCTTAGAGCAGGGTGCTCCACAAAGTACAACAAAACTGCCTCTGCTCTTCAGGGGAGCTGTATTGAACAGCAAAACCACAACAAAATACTTAATAGTTGAATAGGAAAGAGGTAAATGATTCGTGAAAATGCACTACCTGCTTGGACCAGTGGAGAACCATACGCTGTCACTGCCGCCTTCCTATCAGCCATAAAAATCTCTTAGTTCCTATCACTAGAGTAGATGTGTGTGTTTAGTTGGTGAGCAGAAACAATTCTCCTCTCCAGGGCCTTTCTGGAATTATCCTTCAATTTTAGCCCAAGAACGTGAACACAAACTGTTTATCCCCCAATCTATTTTGAGAGACAACTGCTCTATTACATGCCTGCCTTTTCTGATCATACTCCTTCTACTTTCTTTTTACTCTCCCTCTTCATTCTTGCTGGCTTGGAGTGGGCTCCCACTTATTGGGAGTGGGAGTCAACAGAGTGCAGGGTCTTAAATTGGAGTCATAGCCATCATTGGTGTGGTAAGGGTATTGGATATGTTGCTCAAATGAAGGCACCTAAAACGTGGTTAGGCAAGATGAGTTTTCAGTCCATTTGTCATATCTTGCTTTGCTGGCACAAGCATGTATATGAGTTTCCAGCTGCAAGAAAGTCAACCCCTTGCTTGGGTCCAAAATCTAAAATGCAATTGATAATTTTAAAATTGATGTTTAATCACAGCATTTTATGGATGTTTCTCTTCCCATTTCCACCGGCTTGTGTATATCCTGCTAAACTCAGAACAACTCCACATGGCTACAGGAAAGTGAGAGTTCATTCTCATGAGAACAAACATTCTGCAAACCACCCAAACTTTGTGCTGCCATACACACAAAAATAAGTGTTTGTGATTCACTCCTGGGGAGATACAGCTGTCTCTCACTCTCCGCTGTCTTTTAGTTACTTAACAATTCTCTACTTAGAATTCTCTGTAGCCATCCACAATGATTTTCTGGTAGAAAGCCAAGCCATGGGCCTACTTCTGGTATGCTCTACATTACTGAGTTAGTCCTTTCAGCCCCCAAAGTACAGTTTTAGAGTCTTATAAAAACAAATAATAGATGTTCAGTGTTCATTTCTAGTGTGAAGAAGTGCAGGGGAAGACTTTGGTCGGGGCCTGACACTGTGTTGAAAACTCTGAATGAATGTGGATTCCCAGAGTTCACTGGAGGCACCGCCTAAACTTAGCTAAGGAAAGCTTCAATTTTCTTATTTAGCAACTAGGGCTGCCTCATGGGCTGGACTCAGGAAAATTTGACAAGCTACAAAACACCTCTATTAGCAAAATGTTCATATTAAACCCCAAGATTTTGTGTCACTGCTTGGTGTCTGCTTCACATTTAGAAGGTGCTTTCTGGAGGGCTTGGAGATTATGGTTGTGTACTAAGTTACTCCATTTTTTGTCCTGTTTTGAAAGCATTGGTGAGATTTCAGGGGTTCATAAACTTCTCTGTACAAGGATGAATTGCAACAGAGGTGGGTCCCTCATGACAAAGTGACTTTTAGTGTCGGTGTGTTGAAAGTCTCCTCAATGTCTGACTCCTTAGTGGATACAAGTGTCTCCCAGCTGTAGTTGGAAATTTTCAGCTCAGGCTGCAACAGCTTGTGCTTTTATCTCTGGAGGTTCATTCTCCAGAGCCACAGCCATCCCACAAGGACCCCTTGCATGCGTCAGACTTCAGCAGTCCCACCACCTTGAAAAACAAGCTGGATGAGTTTAGTCATGCCATTCTGGCAGCCAGCAGTGGCATTAGCTTCTCAAGCCCTTGGATTTTCAGGGCTTTGGTTTACGGTTTTCAGTGTGACACACTCCTGACGCAGCCCGCTCTGGGTGGAAGGAGAACGTGTTATAATTCCGGGCGATGGAATGCTGTTTTGAAGGGTATTGATATGATATCATGTAGCCTCTGGCAATTTCTCTCTTCTTTTTTTTTTTTTTTTTTTTCCTTTCCAGTGGTGGAATTCACTCTGTTATTCATTTTCTGATTTTGATTTTCTTTGAACTTTTTCTGTTTGAAGAGATGAATGCTGAAGTACTGTATCTCATATAATAGCTCTTCTGTTGTGCCTGATTTCCATTCAATGGCATGCTATGGTGTTTTATATAGAGATGCGGCTGATCAAAGGCATTTTGTGTCATTGCTGGAGTCATTAGCGACTTCTCAGTATTGTACGTCTGAACATTAAGACTGTGGCATACCTGTGCGCTTTTGTCTGAAGAAAGTATATGTATAATGAAATGTAGCCCTGTTTTCAGGCTCATGCTATGGTTTGCTGGAAGTGGTTGCTTGCTGTTATGTGAATGTCTTAATGGGAGAAAACCAACTGCAGTTTGTAGTTCTCTGAAGGTAAATCCCTTGAGCTCAGTGACCTAAAGTTTATGATTTTAACCCATTTGTCATCATCTCCCTCTACCACATAACTGAGTGTATTCTATAAGGACCGTGTAAGGAAGTCTCCTTTGAATCTGTTTGCTTTTCTCCTCAGGTGTGGAAGGACTTTTTTTCCTCAAAGGAGCATTCTGTTGTTTCTACGGAGCAACATTTCACCCCCCAAAGACTTCACGCTCCGGAGTGTTGTTCTTTTAAACTGAGGAAAGTATAGGTTTGCAGAGGTATCTCTGCATGGGGGATTTTCTCACTCCTGTGTTTCGAGGCTCACATATGTGATGCTGCAGTTACAGAGCAGTCAGCATTTCCTTTATAAAGCCTTTTTTAGAAAGATGTGCAACTCAGCAAAAATAGCTGTTCTAGACTGAAATTTGACATATAAATGGTATGCCTAGGAGCGCTTCTTCTTTTCCTTGTAAAAATGTTTCAGTCTGTGTTTGATGAATATACTTATGGCCTTTGTCAACTGCTGCTTTTTGCCACATTCTTGAGCTGTGATTTCACAAACTAGATTCCCCTTCTGTCTGAGAGATATCATTTTAACAACATCTTCCCCCTTATTCTCCTCTCTCTGTTTCATATCCTCACAAACTGTGCCTTCACTTCTCAGCTCTGCAGGGCATAGGACTATACCTGCCCTGTAAAGAGATTATAGACAGGAGTTTCTTCATGCCTGTAAAAATGTATCAGGTGCTAACAGTATGAGATTTAGGGGGAAAAAAGATTGCACTTGCTCTGTAGAGACTTATTACATCTGAATGCTCTGAAAATTTTACATGCTTGGAAGATGCTTCAGTCCAAGGACACAGGGAATTTCTTTTGAGATGAGGTGTTCAAAGTAACCAGGGGTTGCTGCAGTACTTGGCAGAGTACAGAGGTCCTGGGCTTTCAAGGTGTCCCTGGCTGATGTCCAGAGGGAAAGAAGGAAAAAAAAAAAAAATAGGAAAGGGAGAGACAGGAAGGTTGAGTTAAAGAGAGAGAGTAGGAACATATATGTAGAAGAGACAAGCAAATCCGCAAGCAGACCCAGGACCCTGGACTGTGCCGAAGTTTCTTATCCCTGGAAGCTGTGAGACTTCAGGGCTGCAAAACCAAAGAGTTAAAACCCAGGGAAAACTAATATTAAAGACTGCCTACTCATATTTTTTTTCAGTCCACTTCTGAGTATGTTTTATATAGGTTATGATTATGTTTCTTGCAAACAGGGCTTGGAACAGTTCTTAAACCTTTGTGCTAAATGGCTTGAGTCAGCCCCTAATTACATGTTTTGGAGAAAGGACTTTCACTGTGCTACCTACTGATTGGTCATTTGTGTTGTCATCCAAAGTAGTTGCTAATGACTATAGGCAGAAGTAAAACTGTGAAGTAGTTGATCCACTTCCCAAGACACTGCATGGCTCTTCCTATGTTCCATACCAAAAGCATTTCAAGTGGCCTATTCCCACTGCTCTGTCAAAACCTGTATTCCTTAATCTCTACTGTTTTGTATATCTGTGCCTTCCAATAAGGGGATGAGACATCAACAAAAGTCACATCAAATCTTTGGGTAGGATTTGGCTGTTGCCATCATGTTGAAGATTCTTATTTTCTGCAAGCTACTTTATGAAAGTCACAACTAGATCACCTCAGTGAACCCTTTGCTAAGGAAATACCTTGCTTTTCCTTCTTCCAGGGGCATCTACTGACTCAAAGATGCACCACACCAGGAAACCGTTACTCTTGTCAACAAGGAAAAGAGTGAGCTGGATACCACAATTTAAGGACCAGAGGTGGTTTCCAGTGCAATCAGCTGAAAAGCTCCCAGTGACATCAAAGAGCATCAAATGGGTCCTGAGGGTGGAATTCACCTCTGTGTGGTGGGCTACCTCGAAACGATGCACCATTTATGTCTGTCCTCATGTCCTACTTGGAAAGCTTAAGTGGCATTTAAAAGATTCACAGGCTGTAGACTTGCAGCTTTAGGAGGCACCGGTGATGCTGTTATTGTGCTCAATCAACAACAGTCCCCACTCTCTTCTGTAATATAAAAATATGCTCCTTGTTTTGTCCTTAAGGATCTGAGGGTATGGTGCTTCCCCTGGTCAGTGTAAACTAAATTATTAATAGGGAATAAGTAGTCCTGTGAATAAAGAATTAGAGAATCACAGAATCAAAGAATTAGTTGTGTTGGAAAAGACCCTTAAGATCATTGAGTCCAACTGTTAACCTAACCCTGCCATCCCACCACTAAACCATGTCCCCAAGCACCTCATCTGCCCGGCTTTTAAATACCTCCAGGGATGGGGACTCAACGATTTCCCTGGGCAGCCCATTCCAATCCTTGACAACCTTTTAGGTGAAGAATTTTTTCCTAATATCCAATCTAAACCTCCCTGGGTGCAACTTGAGGCCATCTCCTCTTGTCCTATCACTTGCTACTTGGGAAAAGAGATGGACACCCACCTCACTACACCCTCCTTTCAGGTAATTGTGGAGAGCGGTAAGGTCTTTCCTCAGCCTCCTTTTCTCCAGGCTAAACAACCCCACTTCTCTCAGCTGCTCCTCATAAGACTTGTGCTCCAGGCCCTTTACCAGCTTCATTGCTCTTCTTTGGACATACTCCAGCAACTAAATGTCTTGTAGTGAGGGGCCCAAAACTGAACACAGTATTCAAGGTGTGGCCTTCCCCCAGTACAGGGAGACAATCCCTTCCCTACTCCTGCTGGCCACACCATTCCTGATACAAGCCAGGATGCTGCTGGCCCTCTTGGCCACCTGGGCACACTCCTGGCTCATATTCAGCCACCTGTCGACCAACACCCCCAGGTCCTTTTCCGCTGGGCAGCTTTCCAGCCACTCTTCCCCATGCCTGTAGCTTTGCATGGGGTTGTGGTGACCCAAGTGCAGGACCCAGCACTGAGCCTTGCGGAACCTCACACAATTGGCCTCGGCTCATCGATGCAGCCTGTCCAGATCCCTCTGTAGAGCCTTCCCACCCTTAAGCAGATCAACGCTCCCATCCAACTTGGTGTCTTTGGCAAATTTACTGAGGATGCACTCAACCCCCTCCTCCAGATCATTAATAAAGGTATTAAACAGAAGTGACTCCAGTACTGAGCCCTGGGGAACACCATTTGTGAAGTCTGGCTTCCTGCAGATGTAAGCACAGCATTCCTCTTGGTTGGAAGGGAAGAGGTGTGCTTTTATCCACAAAATCTGAGGGAGCAAAGCCAAACTGCAGAGAGGGAAAAGCAGGGACAGGGTGTTGTTCAAGGTGGGTTATGGTGTGTGACTTCAGCTTGTCACCCTGATCACTGCTGTTGACAAGGCTGGGACTTGCAAGCTCTCTGTGCCATGAAGCACCTCTTTGACAACGTTGGATTTTCTCACTGCCATCAATCTTGTTCTCATCCTTGCCATGAAGGAAAAATGCTGTCTGGACGCTGCTTAACTTAGTCCTGTTTCATTGCACTGGGTGATCACGGTTTACTTTCATAAACAGTGAGACTAACATGTCTCTAACTTGCTGCCCTTCGCATGCATAATTAAAGGTTTAAGCAACATTTGATGAGCCTTAAGCATGCAACAATATGATTGGAAATACATTATTATTCATTTATCAGATCACAGCCACACCATGGAGCCTCAGTGGTAGATGAGGCTCTGGTTGTGGATGCTTCGTAAACACACAAGCCCTGCTCCAGTAGTTCTAAGCAAAAACAATCTAAATAAAGCAAAACTCAAGCAAAGTTAACGTTCTTCCCATCCATGCCACACTTTTTGGCAAGTAGTGTCGATAGGCTGCCATTATTCTAAACAATCCTCTGTTTTGTTTCTCAGACCGGACCATCCTGGTGGATACGGCTCTTCCCCCTCTGAGAGGTCTCTATGTCCTGGGGACCCTTGAGTTCCCCAGCAACTCCAGCAATGTCCTGAGTGCAGCCTGTATCGTGGTGGTGGGGGGTACGCTGAAAATGGGTAAGTGAGCAGCCTATCTTCTGGATGCCTGGGGTTTATTTCTGCTCTTAAGAGAGAAAGTGGGAAGAAAGACTGTGTAGTGTTACTATAAACATAGTGGCCATCATAACGCCACATAGCTATCCGGATATCTGCAATGTGGACCCCCAGAATCCGTGTTAAGCACAATGATTATCCACTGGAGCTAATTACCTGTTCGGTTTACAGCAACATATTACAAACACTGCTGTCTTCACCCCACTGAAGTTAATGGCAATACTCCTGATTTCGTTGTGGCTGAGACTTTCTCTGATATGTCTAAAAGTCCTCCCTACTTCATGCGGTGTTGCTTTATGAGACAGTAATTCCTACCGTAGCGTTCAGGCAGTGCCTGGTGTCTGTGGGCATTAGTAAGACACATTCTAGGTGACACAGAAGTATTTAAAGCCAACATAAACAGAGTCACGGAAAATCCCTAGAGTGCCTGGAAACCCTGCAGTGGCATGAAACTGGCACAGCTGGATTCAGCACATTTGTTCCCCATTTGAGCACCAGGACTTCAGGGAGGTACCACCTTGCCCCTACTTCTACTGGTTTCAGAGTCCCCAATGTCACTGGGGTGTTCCATGTTATTTGCAATGGTCAGGATCGCTGTTTTTCCACACAGAAGTAATTACTCACCTAATTCCCTTTAAATATCAAGGTTCCTAAAGCCAGGCATTGTATTTGCTTACAGGAATCCTTAGGATGCTGGGATCACATTGTTGATCACTGCTTGACCTTTCTCAAGATTGGTTTCATGAACTTTAAAAAGTGAATTTGTTTGGGTAATCACCTCCTGAGGAAGTCTGCTCCAATATTTGTTTGTTGCTAATCTCGAGGGACTGTTTAGTTAATACAGTATTGGCCAAAAGAGTTATTTCGCTGCCTTGCGTATTACTTTGGAAAAAGGGACTTGAAAGCCTAATCTGGGAGGTTAATGCATATATATACTTAAAAGAGTTCTCAGTCATTTCTTACTTACACTCTTTTGTAGTTTGAATGTTGTTTCATATTGGTTTTAGGAAAAAGCATGTGTTCATTGCTAAAAACACTTATTAAAAAACATTGAGGCACTTCTTTGCTGCACAAACTCCCCTCCAGCACATCTGTGAGTAGTAATGATATTAAAAGCCAAACAGGTATTTGCAGCTGTTAAATCATAGTCCAGCGTCTTCTGGAGAAGTACCCTTGCTCTAGTTTCAGCTGTGACATGCTGGGTGGGTAGAGACACTGCAAGTTTCCTGCATCTTATACTGGCTTCTGTGCTTGCTTGTAATACTGGGAGAGCATGCTTTTTTTTTTTCCCTTCCTCTTTCTCTTCCCATGTGTTCAAGGCCTAAAGGTAACTTCTTGGAGCCCATCTGTCTAATCCTGACTGTTCCATGCCCAAAGGAAGGTTTTGAAGCCCATCTGTCCAATTCTACCACATCCTAAAGAAATCCTGACATAAAATAGATAATGAGACAGTTTAGTAAACAGATTTAATAGATGTGGACATCAGCATTCAGCATTGCCTGAGCAGGATCTGAGGTTGACATCATGTGAGCCAAATCCCCAGGTCCTCCCTGTTGTGTAACTTCTCCATGCCCTGTTTTCAGCACAGCGATCTTTGGTCACATGCTGTTGCTTCTAATTCAGTGGCCTGGGCCAAAGATGTTCTGATAGAGCCTGAGTATTTTGCTCACTTAAACTGCTAGAGAACAACGATAAGGTCTACAAACAAATCTTGGGCTTTGGTGCCCTTCAGAGCACTTGGCATCTTATCTGCAGGGAAAAAAAATCAGATGGTAAAGTATGACTGTAAGTATACAGGAACTCAGTGATGATGAGAAATATGTAACAGAGGGGGACAAATAGTGTAAAATTGGAGTTTATGAAACATCAGCAAGAACCTAACCCATTTTTTTAAAACAATTATTTTCAGGGAAACTGGGACGAGAAAATTCAGCAACAGTTGGGAGATCAGAATTCTTGGGATACCTTTGTTCCTAGAGGGTTTGTCATCGCTTTCCTCTTCAATGTACCCAGTGTGAATTATGATCAACAGAATCGGTGGGAGATGTGAACTGATGAGAACTCTGTAAAGGGCTGCAATAACTCTGTCAGAGCTCTCAGACAACCTAGAAGTAAAATGTGGGGATCTATCCCCACAGTAATTCCTCTGGGTGCTCTTAGCCCTCCAGTGTTGTTGGACCCAGGGAGACCATCTGATTGCTTCTTCTCCAGTAGTCCTAGCTCCAGAGGGGGAGCTGCTTCTTTCTCTTAAACTTTCAAAGTCTCTTCTTTGATGGTGATATTTGCAATAACATTTTAGAAACACTCTTTATTTCTATCTCCCTGTGTTGTGATCCTGTAAAAAGAATAGGTATTTTTCCAGTTTATAGAAGGAGAGTTTGAGGTTCAGCGAGATTAAGTGATTTGCTAAATAGCATTAGCACACCTGTGTCAGAATAAGAAAGGAAATGTTGAGCTCAACATCTCAGAGGGGTTTTTTCGTTTCTTTGCTAGGGTGGTTCCATTCATTTTAACTCGTAAGTCAGCATTAAAGCACAGATGATAGGCACAGAAAATGCCCTGTTCCACTGCTGAACAAAGCCCTCAGCTCCTGATAAGGCTGCAAAAAATGCTGAAGTTCGTTTTGCACAAATTGATCCATTGGACTCATCCTGAACTCCACTGTATTCAGCTGCTTTTTTTTTCTGGCAGGCTATTTTTGCTTTTTATAGTAGAACTTGCCAAGTAATTATCCAGATAGGATTTCTCGTTTTAGTTTCAACTTGTCACATTCTTTTTTGCATATCTCGTGATGGCTGCTTGTCAGTCATGTCACTCATTTGAGGCAAGAAGCCTAAGGTCATCATTAGCTCATGGCTTGATTGTCTGGAGATGAAACCCCAGACATTTCTGATGTCTCTTATCTTGCTTGTGGTAACAGAGCTCTAATGCATTCACTCCCCCTCTTTTCAGTACTAGTAAGAACCCCCATACTGACTTCCCAAAGGGTTAATCGCTGTACTTCATAAAATGGCCATGTGTTAGTGATGATTAATGCTCAGCCTTATAACCACAATTAGGACATAAGTGAGTTTCACCACCTGACTATCTTTTCCAGCTTCTCCAATATCTCTGCTCTGTGGGTCCCGTCATATTTAGCTGTGATCTGAGTCCCATCCTGCAGTCACATACCATTCCTGCACAGCTATTCAGCTTGTATGAAGATGGAATACTGTGGATGTATTGAGAGCAATTTTTCATCCCTGATCACAGAAAAAATGGTTTGAAAAGTTCATTGCACCACCTGCGTCCCCTTCAATTATCTCTCAGCCTCCGTCTGTTTGGTCTTTACCCTTTCCAAGCCACTTCCTTTCTTTTAACGGATTGTATCACGTAGGGAAGGGATTTGGTTCCTATGTTTAAGACACCCAAATTTAAGCTTAACTTGTGGACACCAGCATGTGAGCTGGCTGTTTCAGTAGAGGTGTAACCAACCCAGTCAGTGAAGCCACTCCAGTCAATGGGACTGGCCAATACAGGTATCTAGAGCAAGTTACAGTCTACACTGTATTGGCTGATCTTTGTTAAGTCAGACAGCCAGAGAACATGGAAACATCTGCATTAAGAAACCTAAATGTGGGTATATGAATCTCCTCGGAAACATGGTTCAGCTGCCTAACTATAAGGATTTTACATCACTTTGGGCACCTTCAGGCATGCCATCTGGCCTCCAGCCTCTCCTTAAAAAGCCACTGTTCTGTCCTTGATCCCTGTTTTGTATCTACCAACCTCACATAATGGATTTGGAGGGTGTTAGGACTCTCAGGCAGCATTAGACATCTACATTTAGGCAGCTAAATCCTATCCTGCTTGTCTCACTTATTCCTTGGACATTCATCTCTCACTTCTGGCTGTTGGTTCCTACTCCGCAGCCGTCTGTCTCATCTCTCCTGTTTATTTGGCACACCGCCTGTAAGAGGAACCCATGTGATGTCTCCTCATTTACAGCTGCTTTTACAGTCTTCTTTGCAGAGTGCGGTCTGAACAGCTGAAGGAACAGCTTGGGAAGGAGAACCAACACTGCCTATGCAGCTGACCATGAATAAAACCAATTCAGACGTTCTGGTGACTATATACGACTGTTTTCAAAAAAGGTGGATAGGAAGAGTCCAAGGAATTTTGAATTCAGGAAACACAGAGCTATACTGGAGATGGTCACGGCAAGATGCTTAGCAAAGTCTAGTTGCCAATGGAAGGGAGGGGACCTTATCTCAGAGATTTCCTTGCTCTTATATACAACAGCTGTTGCAGGGTGTTATGTTGTAAAGAAAGGAAAGGCTAGAAGGGAGGAAACACCCACTGTTCTAGGGAAGAATTGAATGGGGTTTGCTATGGAAAAAGAAAAAAAGCACAACAAAAAACTGTCAGGAAGAACATCTGGAATAAAACTGAAATATGAAAACAATGGAAAATGCTTTTGAAACTCAACAGCAAACTAGATCCAGGCTGCAGTCCAGAATAAGTAAAAAATCTGGGTAGAAAAAACACACCTCTCTCTGTTCTTCATTTTTTCCCCCCCTACTTTCACATAGTAGGTTTTTTATCCTCTCCAGACGTTAGACCTGATGAAGGATTATGAATCAGCTGCGACCGTTGCACTAACAGATTTGTGTTGCAATCCTGGCAGCTGGGCCTCACACTTCTTCAGGAAAGCATGTAATCAGTGGCGACTTTATTAGCAGCTTAGATTACTTCTTATACATAGGATTATCATATATGGGGTTGGTTTTTTTTTTGCATTGTGTAGAGCATGCATTGTGGTGCCAGCACTCCTTGGAAGAACATCAGTTTTGGATACTCCTTGCAGAAGGTCACTCACCTGCAGTGAGGCTATTTGATGTGACATCAACCATCAGACAGACAGTGAAGGCACAAACTGACTGCGCAGTCCCTGCGCACAAGGCCCAGCTCATAGCAAGTTGCAC